CCTCCTCATTCGAAGTGAGCATAGCAGTTTGCATCCTTCGTTCGGCCTTCTTCCAATCACTCAGTAACATTTGTGCTTGAAGATTATCAGGCGTCATCCTCGACCGTCGTGGATCCAGCATGTAGCCGCCCTCACTGAATGCTTGCTCAACCGCGACTGTAGATGCTGGGACAGCAAAGATCTCCTTGGCCATAATGCATGGAATAGGAAAAATTCCTTTCATTCTTGACCACCAATCTAACACATCGAAATTGAGTGGCGGTTGAGGTGGACGTGCAATCGTAACGGCTAAATTCGACGTAAGGTAGTGATCCAGCTCATAATATCCAGTCCCCTGCACCCTTTGACCGCCCGAATTTTTGTAGGGATTTAATGAATCCCAAAACACTTTGAAGTTTCCGTAGTTTGTATTGCTGCTTTGCCCTCCGTACGAAGATGAAGACCCGCTGCCGTTTGCGCCGCTGCTACGAACAAATGTGCTGGGAGACTCTCCATGTGCGATCGTTGTTTCCTTGAACATGTCATACAATGAATTTTTTGCTTGCTCGACGAGCTGCGGTATGTTAGGTTTGTCCCTGTAAGTCGGGACCCCACTCGGCAGTGGCAATTGATACATATAATCATAGTACATATTAAGTTGATTTAACAAACCTTGCTCACGAACTGTAGGATCTAACAGACATGCAATTAAAAATGTATCGGGAATATAGTAATAATATTTTAGCCATTTTTGTAACATAACTTCTACGACCAGAATATTTAAAAGGTTCTAAGTCATAAATATCTTTAAAACCCCACATTATAGCTATACATTGACTGACCACAAGTTGAGCAGTAGGATAGTAAACACCAGAAAGAATATTAGTAGCGTTTTGAAATGTTTCTAAAAAATTTGTAAGTTGCAAACATTTTGCCCAATCATTCACCGAAAGTCGAACATCACAATCCCTACGGTTTGGATCATTAAAAAAATCCTGTAAATGCTCGGCATAATCAGCGGTGACATTCAACATTTTAAATGTTGAATTCCACCGGGTAGGCACGTCTGGCTGGAATTTTTTAAGTTTAATTCCAACACTCTTACAAAATCATCTCCATGCTTTCATTTCCTGAGGACGTTTATGCAAATAATTGACGGCCTCCCTTATTGGCGTCACAGAATCCTTAAAAGCATGATAACTTGAACACACAAATTTAAAACATGACATATACAACGAATATGAAAAAATCTACCCCCACAGATTGGTGTACAAACATTATTTAATTCACGTATAGATGCAGTATTTGCAGTCGCATTATCAAATGAAATTGAAAATACTTTTTTACCAATACTATATTTATCTAAGATTTTTGAAATTAAACGAGCAATATTAGAAGCAGTTTGTCGTTCATGAAATGCAACATAACCGATTAAACGTTTTTGTAAAGTCCAACCATCGTCAACCCAATGACAAGTAATCCCTAAATAAAAATTATTTATCCAATGATCGGACCATATATCAGCACAAATGGATACTCTATGATTTAAAGATTTAAAATTTTCTTTTAAAATTAGTTTCTTCTCACTCACGATTTTTCGAATATCGCGAGTAAGGGTGGTACGAGGAACTCGGTTGGCAGACGGATTTAAAGCCATTTGAGAAAAATTTTCATATAAATCACTATCACCAAAACTATAAGGAAGAGACGAAGCAGAAACAAATTCAGCTAAATGACGTCTATGATTTTCATGAGAGTAATGAAATAAAGAAGAAGACGTACCTGCACCTTGAGTGGCTGAGGCGGATGCTCCGCTGCTACTTGGGAATTGCGTCTGTGCCGTGTCGATTCCCATTACTGTCGGATGAACATTCTTTAAATGTCGGGTCAACGTTCCGTACCCATCGCCTTTTTTGAACTGATACTTCGTCTTCGAATTGGCCGGACAGTTGTTGCAAATAGCCAGAAAATAAGGATCACCTCCTTTCTTTTCATTTGGAGCCTTCGTGTAATGTCGGTCGAACATGACGGAATCCCGAGTTTTGACTTTACCGCCCCTGACAACTCGGACCGGCTGTGTGGGTTGTTGTGGCTGCTCATCCGGAGGAGTACTTCCAAATAGATCATCGAGATGGTCCTCGTACGGCTGCTCTGGGTCCACCTCGTGTACACCCGTTGCCGGTTGGACTGAGGGTGGAGGTTGAACGACATCGAACATTCGATCGATTGTGGCGGCATCTATATCGTCGGTCACGCCCGGAACATCTACATGTATCGTTGGACTCGCAAATGAGGGCAATGGAGGTGTCGAAGACGATGCGCCTTGCCGTTGCCGCTTTTGCCCGGAGGCCCCAGACTTCGAACCACGGCCACGACCAAAAAAGCTCGACATTTTGAATTTAAAAAATAATATACAACAAAAAAAAAACAAAAAGGAAGAGAGATTAGGGAGAGGAAGAGAGATTAGGGAGAGGAAGAGAGATTAGGTAAAATTTATATTAAAAATTAAGTAGATATACAATTTTTTTTTATTAAAGCGGGAGAGAGATTAGGGAGAGATATTATGGAGTAATGGAGAGATTAGAGAGATTGAGAGAGTGTGGGAGAGAGAGATGAAGATAGTGAGTGAGGTG